CCGTAAAAAGTTGGAAATGAAGGAATGTACGTATTTAACCTGTAACAGGCCTTCAGATAGTTGGGAAAAAGCAAAGAAAAGTGAGCTAGAAAAAATGGCGAAGGGGCGGGGTTAGGGAGAGAGGGCGAAAGATCCTCCTACTCTCTCCCTCTTACTCTCTTCAACGTTTGTTTTCCTCCGTTCCCCATTTCGCGACACTGTCCCCCTTGGAACAGGCTAGTTCATAGTGAGCCAGAGAGTTTTTTCCGGTGCCGATGCAAGTGATCAATGTCCATTTAGGAGTATTTGACATTTTAAAAGCTCGTACTCACGCTGCAACTATTCCTGCTTTTGCATGTGTAAAACGCCACCTTTTTTCTATTTTCCGTTTTGCTGTAGGGGAAAGTTCTTGGGGATTTGTTTTTGATGATGGTGTTTTATCGTCGATCGAAACGAGTTAAAATATTTTCTGAAACGTTCCTTACAAAGTACCTTTATAAGAGTGACAGTAATATATCGAAACGTACATGTATACTCATACATAATTACTTGAAAGAGAAAACTCGCGAGAAAAAAGAAAGTGTTCTAATTAGTTAATATTGGTTGTCCCCGTCTTAAATTTAACGTATTTATGCTTTGTGACGGATTCTTAAATTAGTAAAACACACCACTGTACTTGTTTAAAGTCTGTTTTCGTTGGGCTAGGTCGTCGACGTCTGGCCTACGTCGCTCAAAAAAGGCGACTTTTGGGCAATTCTCCACTAGATATTGTATCCAAACAAAATGACTCTTCTAAATAAGATAAGTGTATTGAAAGATGTAATATAGATTGTATGCTGGAATTTGGCACGTGATCAACGTTGAATTTCTCTTTACTCCTCATGTATAACTATCATCATAATCTTCTTCCATCTTCCTTTGAAAATTTCTTTAAAACGGTAGCATCCATACACTCATACAATACCAGGCTTGCTTCTAAATCAACCTATTACCTCAATACTATCAAAACAAACTATGGTAAATTCAACTTTCGCTTTGCGGCTGTAAAAGTTTGGAATAACCTTGATGAAAGCATTAAACACCTTCCCCTTAAATCCTTTAAAAACAAAGTCATGTTAAACATCTTAAAGTCTTACCGTTCTTTAATTGTATTTACATTTTTTTTTTCTCCTCTTTCTTTTTTTTTTCTCTTTTCTTTTCTTCCTTTTATCTATTTAGTAATTCCTTGTTTGTTCTAGCTTTAGTGCCAACCTCCCTCTTACGCCTGAACATTATTTAGCTTTACTCAGCTCGATTAGCTTTTCAGTTATTCTGAGTAAATGTTACCTTTTTTTGTATTAATATATTATATTGTAAATTAAGTTAACTTTTATTTGGTAATAAAGCTTATGTTGTTGTTGTTGTTGTTGTTGTTGTTGTTAAAGCATATCTGTCGTTAACACCGCTGGCGTGACGGGCCGTGTAACGCTACTTCTAACCACTGGAATGTCGCGATTTTTCGCAAAATTAGGGTTGAACTCGAGGTCTTGCGGGCTACTTAAAATCGTTTGCCCAGAGAATTTGTTTTGATTTTCTGATAGATTGGGGCCTAGTCAACCGGCAGAGAGTCAATTTGCGAAATTTTAAGTCATAGCGCATTGTAAAAATTTGCATTATTTTATCCCTATAATTTTGAACGGCAAAAATTGTCAATATGGCCTATCTTTAACAATACTTTTTTGGCCAGAAAATTTTAACAGCTTTCACAAATTTATCGTCTTATAAGAAAGAAAATGTCATAAAAACCAGTCGTGTTTTTCAAAGGCTGCCAAATCGTTGTGGTTTAACGTACGAGTCAATGAAATTTGTGTAAAATTTCGCTTTACCGGAAGTGGATATTGAGCTCCGAACAGGCGAAATGAGTTTTCTCGAATTTTCACAAAAGAACACGTTATTTGGGAAAACTAACTATAGCATGTTTCATTACTCATTAAAGGTTATCGATGAGCCAAAAATGCGGTGAGGGTAATAGGCGGAATGAGTTTGCGGAATGGCATGTGGCATGGCTTGCGGAATGACATAATTATGCGGAATGTAAAATATGGAAATTGGCGCAAAGAAATAAATTAAACTGAAAGGCATGCGCGGGTCATTGACGCCCCTTTTTTGGCGCCAATTTGAGTGAACAACTGCTTTACTGGTTCACGCATTTAGACATTCATCTAAAACATACCCGAGAATTAGCTAGGGTTCCTGAAGGCAACCTCCACACGAAAACATTGAAGTCCGGTAAATATACTGAGGCGTGACCAAAATAACTTAGTTTCCGCGATTAGCAAGACGAAATATCTTCTTTTTCCGTTATCCTTAGCGAATTTAATACCATTGTTAGAGTCCTTATTTTTGAGTCGATAGAAAGTGAATCCCAGAATACTTGTGCATTTGATTTTTTGCTTCTTCAAAATACTGTCGGCACCGAAAGTGTTACTCCTTCGATCAAGAATTACGTTGCGTTACTACCTTGATTTCGTGACTGTGATTTTGACAGCTCCGTCTCTTCAAACGTACGTTGTGCCACGTGCAGTCACGGAACAGACTGTCACGCAGAGTCGCCGGCAGGTAAAGTTCAGTGTTTCAAAATGGCTAAAATTGACCCAGTTTCACCTTTTTACCCAATTCTTTGATTGAAAAAAGCAATTTTGCAAAGGGAAACCAACAAGACGTACGAAAAACGAGCCATTGGGCTGTAAATATCTGTTTATGTGCGTTTCGAAATTGGAAGTTCTACAGAGAAATTCTCGATTTTTGCGCTTGTTTACACAAGACAGACAATTTATACCTCCAGCCTACCATGAAAATTCCTGAACTTCGATGGTGTCTTACAGAGATTTCCTTCACTTACCCAAGCCAATTCCCGGTATGTTTTAAATGAACGTCTAAATGTGTGATTTAAATCGCAAGAAGAGAATTTGGAGTTATACCACATGTTAAATATTGGCGGCGAAAATGAGTAACGAACTGAAATTTTTGTTATCCTGAAAACCTATCCCTCATTTTTAAAATTATTTCAGTACGACCAGCTTCCCTATTGTTCAGAAAGTATCTTCTAGTGGAAGGAAAAGAATTTTTTTGTTCGTGGAAAGCGTCCAAATTTCTCCATCCAGCTTCGTTTGCGAACGCGAGGAAATTTGATGTTAGCGAATTTCAGGTTAAAATTAATGCAGTCTGAGACTCCGGCGACATCGAAAACCGATCTTCTATTTTTTCTCCCGAATAAAAGGCTTTCGGCGGGAACAATCTACGTTAGGTTTCTCTTTTACCTAAAAGCTATCTATGAACAAAAATGAAAGAAATTGATTTTTCAACTCTTGTCACGAAATTAAGATTTTGGTCGATTTTTCTGTTTCGCACGTCTCAAGCTCGCAGTTGAGGAAACAAAATACAAGATTCATTCATCTCTGAATAATATTATCAATTATGTCACGATCACGTAACCCACAGTCTCATAAAGAAACACTTCTCACACGGTTTCGAATACAAATATAGGTAACAAGAAACTGTTGAGTTAATCGTACAAGCATCTTTTGTAGAAAAAATTAAAGTAGAAGGGAGCGTGACCTTCGAAAACATCTTTTCTTCAATAGACGAAGAATCTTTTTGGCTGTGCGGAAAAGGCTGGTCGACAATGAGCCTTCGTGGTTTTTTTTTATTGTCATCAAAGGTTAAGCCCGCAACATTAAAACAGCGGCTGCGTTTGCAAATTGATTGGCGCCAAAAAAGGATGCTCTTTTCAGTTTAATTTATTTCTTTTGATCATTCAGCAGCGTATATTAAATTCCGCATAATTATGTCATTCCGCAAGCCATGCCACATGCCATTCCGCAAACTCATTCCGTCTTTTACCCTCACCGCCAAAAATGAGCGAAATCAAATTTTGAACTTGTGCCTACCGTGGGTCGTTAGTTACGGAAAGCTGCTCTTAAGTAAGAATGCAAAGAGATTTCAAAAGTAATGATGGTTTAAAAAAAACACGTATTTACGAAATTGATCATCGAATAATCCTTCGCAAGTAGGCACGCAAAAAAGTGATTTCAAAAGTAATGCGGGCGAGTTTAAAAAATCGTATTTAAGAAATTGCTTTATTTGGTTCCATAGAAAGCATGCAAAAAGATTTCAAATTAAAGTAATTATGCATGCACGTAAACCATTCTCAAATCAACTCGAGTAAGAAGTGTGGATTTGAAAGTGATGACAGGACGAAAGGATTCCATCGCAAGTCAGCACGTCAAAACAGGGCACAAACCGACAATCATCATCTAAGACAATCATTTATTTGGCAACTCAGTTTGTGTGGTAACTACACACTTATTTTTGACCCTGAAAATGGGCCATACTTCCCAACCATTACATCAAATGTTACAAACGACAAAAATAAACTTTGAAAAACTATTAGGTTAAAATGATTTCAAAAACCCACAATTTCAATCCGTTTCAACCTTCTTCAAGTTTGCCCATCCGAGCTTACGTTCGTCCGCTAAGTCTTTGCTGTGTTGCTAGTAAGTTCCTTCTTCTCAATAATGTTTTTAGCTATTACCCCGGCATTTTTGTTTCACTCAATTTGGTCGCAATTCCTACTCAGTGTTAGAATTTTGTTTAAATTTTGTTTAAACTCGCGACACAGCTTCTTTAATAAAGAGGTTAAGAACAACTCGGAAATGGGCTTTTTAGTTTTTCGTTTCCTCCTCATGCTCAGGAACATGACGTAATATCAACTGCGAGGAACTGGTTGACTAGCGAATAGTATTGCGCAAGGAATTGCTACGTGAGTACGTTTTATACAGCGTCACGTACCATTTGTTATAACGAAGAATTAATTCAGAAAACCGAGATTCTGTTTCTTTTGCTTCATTATCTTCAGAAAATACATACAATTGTGTTGGCTTTTAAGACTAAATGTCGTCTTGTGTCGCAGTGAAGTGAATCAATTACGTAGTTTTATGCAAAACTTTCCTCGACCTCTAGCCTTGTGGTCCGTGACGTCACGACAAGAGGGCTTACTTGCCAGACATACTGAGGTACGGCTGAAGAAAGTTACATTGATCGTCTCAAGCAAAATCATAAATGGCAACCACGGGGATAAATGTTTTAGGTAAGCTATTTTGATTTCCTTTTTCAGCAGTTATTCCTATTGCCAGAATTCGGAGCCTACCGTTGAATCGATAAATTCGAGATGAAATAACCACTTGTAACTTCTGTATTATAAATGACTTATAACATATGTATTTGGGAATCAAACTGGTCGCGTTTGGTGCTTTACTGTACGGCCAAACCCTGAATAGTCATGGCGCCCGTAACTTAGATGAAGATGCGCTGCAAAGTCTGAAATTACAACCCATGACCGACATTTACTTCATGCTATATTCAAAATGCTTTAACCCTTTAGGTCCCCATGGTGACCAACATAATTTTTTTTCTTAACAATATCCATATGTTGCCAAGAGAATTGGTTATGAGAGTTAATGCAATGATCACTAAAGAGAAAATGCTTTGATCTGTTATCAACCCCTCCAACTAATTCTTAAAGGAAATGTATGAAGAGCAGTTTGGAGAATTTGTATGTGGATATTGGGGCTTGAAGGGTTTTTAAAGTTGAAGATGATTCTTCTGACGAATTTACAAAGCAAGAGCAATAATTCCTTTCACAGAACATACCTGCGCGTGGCCCACGTTTGTTCTGAGAAGGGGAAAGACCCGGGTCTTACGCTAAACTCTGAGTGTCCACTAGTTTCTCCGTGAGTTAGCAAGTGCTCACGGCAAACAGATAAGATCCGCTTTTGAAAAGAAACTAACAAAATTTATAGGCTAACTTCCAGAAATATATCACTTTTATTATTTTGTGACGATTTTCGCAATCGGCACAAAACCCATACCCTCTGGGGCGGCACAAAACTACAGTATGAAAATAAGGGAAACCAAAACTGAGTGCAGGGCTGGCACTACGGCAAAGGGCTGATTTATTATAAGCATATATTTCGGCTAACAAAATTAGCCTTCCTCAGGGCCAGAACTATACTGAGGGAAAATATCTTTTAACGGCTCCAAAAAATTGAATTTAAAATTCACATAAGTGGTTAATAATTCACTACAATCATAAATACTAGATAGAATAATATACAGGTAAATGATTATAAAATAGAAATCGAAACAGTTCAGTGTTCATTCTTTCGGTTCAGAACGTCTGGTGACAGGGTTTTGCCTCTATCTATGAGGTAAGCTTCTCTTGCCTTAAGTCGTGCCATGCTGAGGGTGTGTTGTAATTCCAGCGGAATAAGGTCCATGGCTGAGATCGAGTGGCCAGGTTGATTAAAGTGGGAAGGGACTGCTGCTGTGGTGTTTGCGTGGAGTGGATTGTTTGTTGCCTGTCTATGTTCTTTAAAGCGTTCACAAAGTGTGCCTTTAGTTTCACCAATACAAGGGAGTTTCCCTTCCCTCGGCTCCACACTTGTCCTTGATTGCCCTTGAACAGGTTCTCGGCTTGTGGAGTAATTAAGTACTCGTTCCCAGACGTCTCTATGTATTTTATAAATGCGGGATTTGAGAATCGCATCGCATCGGGGGGTGGAACGCGAAAAGCAGATCTTTTGTCAAAGACCAGGAAACAGTAATTTTAAGTGACGATCATGACAAAACAGGCAAATTACAGGTCTGTCACGTTTGTTCCACACAAACGTTTTCCCTGTCCGTTTCTTTCTACCGTCCTCTTATGCGTACGTTCACATTATGGGAACCGCCACCAAGGGAGGAAGCTCAGATGTCACTTCAACATAAATTGTGTGAAGAAAAAGAAAAACTGCTATGAACCAATCAGACAAAAGGGCGTCAAAGAAAAAGGTTAAAGTTCAATTATCGCCATTGTTGAACCGGGTTTATTGTTGTTGTGTTGGTATTTGACGTCTTGGGCAAGTAATTCATGGTAGTCTAAACATAGTCACCCTAATATTATCTCCATACCCTAGTAATACTGCATACCCGTTTTACCCATGCATACCCTAGTAATACTTGCATACCCCTTGTACCCATGTATACCCTAGTAATACTTGCATACCCCTATTACCCATGCATACCCTAGTGATACTGCATACCCCTTTTACCCATGCATACCCTAGCCGGATGCTGCATACCCCTTGTACCCATGTATACCCTAGTAATACTGCATACCCCTTTTACCCATGTATACCCTAGTAATATCCTGCGAGCAGAGGTTTTGTTCTCTCTCGCATATTAACGAAGTCGTTCGCGAGGCTTGTCAGTCGTGGCTTGCCAACTATGCGACTGACAAGCCACGCGAACGACTTCGTAAACGCTAAAAGCCATGCGAGAGAGAAACCTCTGCTCGCAGAGTAACGTCTTGCTTGTTTTCATTGCTTTTTTAGTTGGTTTTCTTTTGATTTTTTTACAAGGCAAATATTAAAAACGCTGGAATATATAAACACAAAAGAATTTTGAGGTGTCTGTAAGTTTAGCCTCCTACGCAGGCGTTCCAGCTTAGGGCTTCGTCATACGTGGGACAGGACAAGAAAGAACGTCTCTTAGTTAACTGGTACTCACGTTACTTTCTCGTTACCATGGTATTTTTAAGGTATAACTTTGGCTATATGGACTGCAGCTGTATTCGCTCGTGGTAAGTACAAAACGTTCCGGCATAAGTAAATATATTATTTATGCGTGGCTCGATTTCTGCTGCTGAACCTCTTCCCCAGAGCACTTTTTCCCTCGCATGTTGACGCACGTGAAGGGGACCTAAGAATGAGGCTGCAGCCCACTTGTACCCACGGTATACTCCTCTAACGATGGCTCATTTTATAAAACAGCCGCTGGTATGAATCGTGTCTATAACATTAATGTTGCTCCGGAAAATGTCTGTAGGATTTTCAGGATTATGAGATCGATTTTTCCGTGCTAATAGGGAGGTAGGAATTTCACGTGGTAAACCTGTAAGGTTATACAAGGTTGTATTACAATTGAAGTCAGTATTTTTTTTGCGCTTGAAAAAATTCAAATTAATTACAAAAATAAACGAAATCTCAAAGGCATCATGACATTATCAGTGAATTTGAACCAATTAATCTCCACTCGATGTTCAAAATCATGACCGTTTAACCTTGTTGTATTGATTTTCGTAGATTCTTAACGTCGGTGACCGCCTTTATTTTAAACTGTAACTGTCTTCTAATTACCATTTGTTCAAAATGCTTATTCATGCCAGTTTTCTTCATCCGGTTTTGCAATTATTTGAGCCTATGAGTAACGTGAAATCGTCGCGTTAATAGGAAATTAGATCTGCTTAGAAGGCGTCGACATTGAGGAGAAAAGTAATTGAATGAACTTGACGAGACTTTTTTTGTTCTCCACTCTTTGGTCATTCTGTTTCATTCTCTCCATATTTTCCCTTCTTTCCTATGTTCATTTTCATCCATCCTCCCTTGATGGAATACAGTTATGTTATTCATAATCGTATTTTCAGGTATCAGTCTGAGGGAGACATGTCCTACTAACACCTCACTGGAATTCGCGTCCAAGCTCTACCAAAGGAGAATCTTAAGCCCCAACTATCCATATCGATACTTCCTAGCTGACAGCAATTGCTCCTGGTTAATTCAAAGCAACTTGTTAAATGGGCCTGGTTACATAATTGAAGTTGTTATCAACGACTTTTCATTGGGAGGCAGTGAAAATTCTCTTTCGTTTTACGACGGAGTTTCACCAACGACATCTCGCCTTCTTGGAACATATCGTCGTTCATATTCTCCTGATCATGGTGTATTTTACACCACTGGACCCTTTCTGTATATCGAGCTCAAGGTCTTACAAAAACCATGGTGGTGGAGGTGGTATGATCGCGGCCGCTTTAACATCAGTGTTTTGGCAGTCAAAAAAGGTGTGGTTGATGTTTCCGTGTTGTCAGTTCTGGCAGCTAATATTGTTTATTTGTTTCTTTGTTTTATTAATTAAAATATATTTTGAAAGTGAATGTGCTCCTCGCCGTTGAATAAACAACCTGTAAGCGGTTTAAAAAGAACCTGAAAAAATCAAGCTTGTACGGAAATGGAATCCATCCTCTATTAACTGTGAGGTTCACTTTCACGTTCATCGTTTCATCCGCAGTTAAAAGTATGATTTACTTCATATAATTATTCGAAGTCATAACACACCATAAATTCTCTTTTAACCCCCCCCCCCCCGGAAGGGGGGCTTATTTGTTCAAACACATTTGAGGGGGGGCTTAGTAGAGACGGGGCCTTATAGAGAGGAGAAATCGTTACGTCTCGTTGCCATGGTAGCAAAATTTTTGGATGACAACAAACCGATAAAGTCACTTAAAAGTCTATTCGCACTATTTCATACTTCACGGACCTTATTCAATTTCATTGAATTTTGACAAATCTTGGCAAAATTTTCTTTGGGACCGTATCTAAGTTTAAAAAAAGAAAGCGACAATTTTTGTGTTTTGTTAACCTACTCCATAAAGCGGGCTCGTGAAATTAGGAAGTTTCATGTCGTAGTGGTTCAACGACGGCAAAGAAATGTACAAAATAGCGTGATGCACGTGCAAAGTTGTTGTTTGTTAATATAAACATATCATTTTTTGCCGTTCTCCATGTCGTCGCCGTCGCCGTCGTCGTCGTCGGGGATGGAGGGGATGGGGGGTGGGGTTACACTCAAGGTTTGAGTAGAAGAGTGCTGTTCAAACCCTTGTCCTGTTTCAGACCAACATTTTTCATTTCGCTAGCCTGTTTAAGACAGGAAACTTTATTTTATGACTCTGATTCGTTTCCTTTTGCATGCAGAATAATCTTTATTAAAAAATATTAAATTACTTAGTATTTTTTCAAACTAGTATCAAATATAATCAGATTTTTAAGGGAAAAAAAGTAATTGTACCACAAATGTAATCCGCTCATCGCTAACCTTAATTCACACTGTTTTAAGACTCTTAAAAGGCCTCTGGTGCAAAAAGATGCCCTGTTCAAGGCACTAAATAACGCAATTGAGCGGCACATACACGTAAAGGTCAAATATGGGAGTGCATTAAGGGTCATTCCTATATCCCCTCTTCGCCTCCCTTCCTTCAATCCCTTGCCTAGCCATTTCGCACTGCTTCGGATTCTTGTTCTTTGGTTCTTTTAGTTGTTCATTTGTTAACCGAGTATAAACATTTTATAATTGTTCCCTTATTATTCACACAGAGACGATCTGCAGTCCACCATTTTCCGACAGTAAGGTTCAGTGGCTCCATGGTTCTTCAGGCACTCTGTTTGGCCCAAATTACCCCAATCCGTATGCAAACGTAATCGGCATGAGGTCATGTACTTGGGTGATCTCTGTTTCTACTGGCAATATGGTGAACCTAACGTTCGAACATTCACTATATGAAGCCTTTGGAACCAATGGCAGCGTCGAAGTACGTGATGGCCAGTCCGCACACGACGAGATGATTTTCAACGGTGGTTTTGGTAACCAGTTTTCTGTTTATTCAACTGGAAGGTATATGAGGATTAAGTTCAGTTTCTTTACTAGTGGCAGGGATGGGAACCAAGGTCGCGGTCTCAGAGCACATTTTAAAGCAACCCGTAAGTATATATTTTTTGTTATCGTGTCCTGATCTTTTTTTCACATAGACCACAATAAATGTACCTTGTTTACCCTCAAAGTTTTGATTTTCCTTGGGACTTTTGAAAATGGTGAATTAGTGTGTGTAATCAAATGGTGACGAGTGAAATTAGGGAATAATTTCACTCGCCATTTTGCCCAAATCCTAATAATTTCCCGAGCCTTTAATTTCCCTAATTTCACGAGTATACCATTTGATTACCTATTAATATCATGGGTGACGAATTACGTTAGCAATCTTGGATTTTTGACATGTTTATCCTGGATCGTATCGATCGAGAACTTCACTCTCTCAAATGTTTAGACCTTAAATTTGGCTTATAAAGTTCAGAATTTCTCAGACTTTTTCGGCAAAATACCTGTTAGAATCCTTCTTGATGTTCTCTTGTGAGTTCAGGTTTTCTAAAGCGTCTTTTTGTGCCCTGACATCTTCATTCACGGCATTTTAAAACTTCGTCGCCACCTTGACACTGAGGCGTACGGAAGGGTTGCCATGGCAATTTTGTAATTTCACATGTGAAATTACAAATTAACGCTGAAATTTCGCGCCAAAATTAAGGAGTAATTCGTCACCTATGATATTAAACAGTAAAACAGATGTCTCCGAGTCCCAGACCGCAAACAGACGACCGAATAAAAATTTGGCTCTTTAGAGTTTCTTTGTTTCAAGACGCTTACCACATTAGTCAGAACTGCCTGGCCAGACCAGTCCAGTCTTCAGGAGAATTCCACTATTGATCAGAACTTTCCAGCCCGATCACTTTATTTCTAAATGGTATGCACGGCAGTGATACAAAAAAAGACTAATATCTTTTTTTCAATATGACCAGTTCTGACCTATGGACAGTGTTCTTACTCTGGAGCGGGTTCGATTTGCACGAAAAAACCGTCGGGAATGCTCGACTTTTAGAAATACGAAAATGGAACGAGTACAATCCAATCCTGTCAGAACTAAGTCACTGGTGGAAAATTCCGGGGAACAATAGAAAGTGTCCGTATTAGCTTGGCGTCCGTATTTAAGTCAGAAAAAAAACATTTTATTGTAGCGGAGCTTCAATCGCGCGCGAAGCGCGCGCGAGCTTAATCCCAACCTAAGAAAATGTGGTAATCTACCCATCCGAGAAATTTTGGTAATCACGTGACCGTACGCCCGTCCGTCCACACCACAGACATACTAAAATGAAATAACTCAATCAACAGGTATGGCAACCCAAATGCAACTCGAGGTTATTGTGGCGGGAAATCGCATAGTCACCCGCGTCTTGTGAAGCAAAGACAACTAAAGAGTCAATAAAGACGAAAACGGAAAGCAGAAATTGTTTCTGTATCCGTGTTGTCTAAAGTATTAAGCTTAGATTAATTTTCATGCCCACAAATTTGGAATATAGAGGAAGAGAAAGACAGAGAAAAAGAGAAAGTAGGCGACAGGCCAGCGAAGCTCAACGAGTAAAAGAGCGACAGAGAGCTTGAGCGAGAGATAAAAAACAATGGAGATATTTCTTTGTTGGAAGAACAACATTTGTAGCGGCGGTGAGAAAATGAGAAATGTTAGAGGCCACAACGGTGAAAATGAGCGGCAGTGAAAAAAAAGTGCAAGAACAAGTACGACATTTTCTTCATAAAACGTGTAACTAGGAAGTTTCTGGAAGTTTCACGTTGTAATCGTGCAAAACAACGGCAAAGAAATGTAAAAAAAGTGTGCTTCTTTGCTGCTTTTTTGCTAATAGACCTATTGTTGTTTTTCCGCCGTTCTCGTTGCCTTCACCGCTTAGCATTACGCGATTAATTGTTTGAGCAAACTATAAATATTATCGAGAGCTTCGCTTTTAGCCCTGGCTAAATCTATATATTAACAAGGAACATACTAAAGAAATAAAACAGGACACTACTATCGTCAAACAAAACTTCTCTAACTTACAGTCAGAAAGCCGTTATTCTGCTGACTGTCTAAGTTAAAGCACTCACAATCTCTCATTTGTACAGTAGTTAATCATGAACAGTAATCTCCAGAACTTATTCTTCGCCAAAGTAGTCAAAAATCTGAGCCTAGACTTTATCTTATTCCGTCAACTGTAGCACTACGAACATTGAAATGTTGTCATCCGAAGGTTTTTTTTTTATCTTCAAAAAAGATGCAGAGGCTTATTACAGAATATACTTGACAATAAGCGAGGCCGGTTGGCGAGGTTAGAATATCGACTGGAATCTGTTGATCGTTCTAGAAAAAAGATTCCTCTGCCCACTTTAGCGGTTGAATTTATAAAAAAATGTAAGAGCTTTTCCCAGGGACAAAGAAAGATTTCGATCCGTAAGCTGGTGTCCGTAAAACGTGTTTCCACTGCCATGTGTGTGGTTTGACGGTTGACCTTAATTCCCACGAGATCGAGCTTCATCAGTGAAGGCCTTCCGGGTGAAGGGGTTGTATGTTTCCTTGTTCCCCCTAAAAATTTTGAAGTTGTTTCCTTGTTTCTCCCCCCCCCCTTCCCCCCACCAAAAACAATTAAATAAATAAAAGATGCTTATCGGAATTCAATTTTACCAACTTCATTCTGCACCATTTACCCTTGATTCCCAAAATATTCCTACTAACTGTTTTCGGCATTTTCGAAGCGCAATGCGAGAGCCTCACGGGCGTTTCAACCTCGCTCCAGACCTTTTGTTTGACTGCTCGCGCGTACTTGAAAACACAAAAATAGGAACTGTATCATTGAGATGTAGTCGAGACAAAGAACGCTAATATTGCCACCAGTCAAGAATATTATTTTTTCTTCTTCTTCGCTTGGTACAGGTACCTGCAATAAAAATTCGCACTTAATTTGAGTCACAATGTTTTCAGCACAAAAGTACTAACTGCCAACATTTCTAACAGCCATTTTTAGCTTGTATGTTTTGTTTTCCTATTGCAGACCAAGTGATGGTAGCCCATAGAAAGGTTTCTTTCAGTCCTATGCACGTGCATATGTATGCAAAGTTAACCCTTTCAGTCCCAATAGTGACCAACAACAATTTTCTCCTAACAATAATCCATACACTGTCAAGAGATAAAGTTATGAGAATTAATAAAATGATCTTCATAGAGAAAATTCCATGATCTTTTATCAAATTCTCTCTACTAATTCTTAAAGGAAATGTATGGAGATCAGTTTGAAGAATTTGTATGTGGATATTGGGGCTTAAAGGGTTAAAGACAAAAGGCAAATTCCCTGTAGAATATCACGTGGTCTGAATTGGGAGCCATAAAAAAGGTCTGTTGAGGACACTATTTTTACGTCCGAGCCACGCGAAGGTCTAGCTTTTTTCATTTCTCAGTTCAGTTTTATTAGACCCTGAGTATTGATCCGGTCCCAGGAAACGAACTCCGGAGTCCGCTCTTCACTGATCAAGCGCTCTACCAGTGTAGGCCTCCCGCGACTAAATGGAACCACAGGTCTCTCAAGCTCACGAGAGTTTGAATTGTTGTTGCGTAACAGGGGGTCAAAAATTGAAATAAAAATACATCAGAATTTCTTACCTTGTCTCCTTGTCCAAATTTATGATGTTTTCTTAGCATTTTTGGCCTTCAGGGCTGGCTGGAATCGCCCTAAAACGGCCACAAATGCTAAGAAAAGGTCAGAAATCACTGTAAATTTAGACAAGGGCACAGGGTAAGAAATTCTGATGTATCTTTGTTACTATTTTTGACCCCTAAATAACGATGACTTAAATCTCAATACAGACTCTTATAATACTTCTTTTACGTACCAACGATTGTCACTCGTGAGCTTGGGGTACCTTTGAATGGAACTAACACTTTTATCATCTTGAATGCGCTTTATACTTAATACCTAGCAATGATGAATTTTGTTTTCCTCTTCAGCTCTTTATATGAGGGAGACTTGTTTACCTGGAAACAAATTCAACCCTCAACTACTGTTGACCAGAGATCAGGGAACGCTAAAGAGCCCTATGAAATACTACCCACCTAACTTGTATTGTAGATGGTCCATCAAAGTACCAGGGGAAAAGCCAGTAGAGCTCACCTTTGAGAGAATAAATACTGCTGGAAGCTGTACTGACTGGGACCACGCCAAACATATATGCCTGTCTTACGAATGTGAAGACTATGTGGAGGTGCAGTGGGTGGAGAGGAACTACACAATGGTCAGGAAAAAATACTGTGGTTTATTGTATAAAGACAATGACAAATATAACAAATTGCCAAATGCCATTATCTCGACTAATGGGAGCTTGACGGTGATTTTTTCATCAGACGCCAATGGCATGGGGATTAAATACAGCGGTTTTGAGGCTACTTTCAAAGCTGTGGATCCATCAAACGGTAGGTAGATTGATTAAACAGTCTGAAATGCAGTTACAAACCCGATAACTCGAACGCTGAAGTGAAACGAAAAACAGTTCGAGTTAGCGGAGTTCGAGCTACCGGATTAATTGAATATTTTAGTTTGCCAAGTTAATTGATAGTTACTGAGTAGACTTTTAATAACTTCAGCCGTATAGTACAGTGCAATTCAGAAACGGCAACTTGATTTTGCATTTTTATGATAAAACTTTGTTGCACCAGTTAAACTCAAATTGCTGTATAGTGTTCTTTTTAGTGTTTTTACATATTTTTCAACAAAAAGGGCTAATGGGATGGCATCCCACTAGAGTTACAAGAACCAGAATTTGAGTTATCAGGGTTAATTTCAGGGAAATGTTGATCAAGGGAAAGGAAATTTACGTCAAGCCAGCGAGGAATTAGAGTTATCTGAGTTCGAGTTCCCGGGCTGTACTGTAGTTGTATCCTTGTATTTTCCCCATGCATTTCATGATTACAACGCCAAGAACAAAAGTTAAGTCAGAAGATCCAGCTATTCCGTTTTCCCTCACTAGATCGCAAAAGCTCATTCTAACTGCTCCACCAAACCAAATTTTTCCACGGCTGACTCCACAAACTATAAGAGGAATGGGTATGGAAAGCCATAGCTCAAGAATAGTTTTGCCAATTGAGAAATATTTTCCATGGCCGAAACATGGCATTCAAAGGTCGAGAAGTCTGTCGATAACCTTCCTTTGGCGGTCGAGAATTTTTTTATCGTTCGAGAAATTTTTGTCGATCGAACATTTTTCATCTGCCGAGAATTTTTTATCGATGGAGAATTTTTTCATCGATCGAGAATTCATTAAAACGATCCAGAGTTTCATCATCGATCGAGAATACATTTTTTTATTGGAGTCAGTACTGGTCAACAGTCTCTTTTGGCGCCATTACACAACAGACAAAATATAAAGGCAAATAATTTTAGTTTGGGACGGCTTGGCAAGAACCAACCCTGAAAAGTACGTATGTAAACTAATACAGCAGTAGGTAAATAACTAATGTACAACACTCGTAAACTAGCTTTCACAAAAAGAAAGAACTGCTACAACTGGTCGATCTCGACCTGAATCCCCCAATTAAACACCCAGGCTTAGTGCCAGTTAGGCCGCCAGTTAAGCTGGGGAAAATAAATAAAACTCTGATCAACGGATAACTGGGATAGGGAACACTGTAGGACCACAGAGGCTGAGCACAGGGAAAAAACTGAGAATCGTTCACTACTGTACCCAACAAGGCACGTAGGCCAATTGCCAGTTAGGCTGCCAAAAGAGGATAGGGCACGACATTTAGGGTAAACAAAAGGCTAACGACCCTGACTAGAGATCTGTAACATTGCCCGCAAACTAAGTGCGTCAAACTAGACATATCTCGCCATTTAATTAAAGAGCGGTTCAAGAACAGCTGACCTAAGCATAAATAGAAACTAAATACATTAAAAATCAATGATCTATTTCATATACATCTTTATTATATAAACACCAATGAAATACCAGGTAAGCTTTCGGGCGAAAACTGAGAAAATATCACCGTTGCCATGGCTACATAATAAATAGCGCCTTTCACACCAAAAAACTATTAAATTGAATTGATTTGGTAGTTCATTGGTGTTTTCTTTTTTCAACACTCGCAACTCCGCGCGGCCATATAATATCCTCTTTATCATAAATATATTAAGTGAAGGAACAGGTGCACAACTGTGATAACCGTACAAGTACATAGGGTAAGAGACGCGGAAAAAGCTGAAAACTAGCAGAGCTGAGCTACCGCTTACAACGGAAACAAATGCGGTCAAACGGGGGCGAGAAAAAACCTGCCCAAAAAAACCCTGAAGGGAAAAAGTGCGGGCAGGAAATCTGGGTAGGGACCAAGGTTCAAGATCGAAGCCTTTCCTACAGGACTTGACAATGTATTTGAGAATAGACCGCTCCTAAAATAAAACAAAAAATTGAGAAAAACCAAAAGAAGGCTGGTTCAGAAGCCTAGATGACGTATACGCGATATACACAGCCTTATATACCCGCGGTATGACTACCCATGGTGCAGCCGGCCTAGTACAGAGGCCCTGTTGTATCTCGTGCCATCAAAATATTTATTTCTGCCTTCTTCGCGGGCTCATTCGTCAGAATTTCTCTATAGTATGTGATTCACCATTTTCACATAGACCATAATGCAACTTGTTTACACCCCAAAATTCTGCATAACCATTGTTTCCAATTTCTCCTGGGTATTACAGTCGTCCCAAGAGAAATCAAAGACAATGTTATGCAAAATTTTGGGGGGTAAACAAGGTGCATTATGGTCTATGTGAAAATGGTGAATTGTCCATGATGGCGTAGCCTGCGAAAACATCCGTTTCTCCTCCCTCTTTGTCGCTGAAGACGTTTCTCGCGGAGGAACGTCTGCGACTCAGCGGCAGAAATTCCATACTGATGACGTAAAATCTGTCCAGAATCCGGTCAGAAGCGCTGATTGGTCGACGGAGCAGTTACATTGTTCTAGCTATTGTTTACGAATGACAGACAAAAGACAAAAGGCCACAAAGGTCAAATGTAAACGCGAAGAATCTCTAACAAAACAGTCAATATTTGTGGAATATAGTCTTCTCTAGAAGAAGCATTTGAGTTTTGCTGGAGCTCGTGGGCAGATCAACACAACACTTTACCAAAATCGACCAGAAGACACGCGAAACTAGGCAAATTTATATTTGGAACCTCATGACTACAGGATTTATTATGTAAACATTGATTTGCGTCATCAGTATGGAATTTCTGTCGCTGAGTCGGAGACGTTCCTCCGCGCGAAACGTCCTCAGCGACGAAGAGCGAGGAGAAACGGATGTTTTCGCAGGCTAATGATGGCGGAGGTGTTGAAACTTTTGCTTGTCGTCTTGTTACTTAATTATGAGTTTGTTAGAGCACACAGTGAAGATTTAAGGATGGGTTATCGCTGTTATCGGAGGCGCTACTCTGTTCTATTTACAAAACACATTCTTGAAGAGATACGAAAAAGTTCTCAAAATCTTTATCGTGTGCTATAACAAAACTATAAATGGAGAAAGGAAGGGATGAACCTTCACACTGACTCTTTATGCGAACCGGTCGCGTAGTTCTAGACTACCATATGAAGAAAAGGGTATTGCTTAGTGTCTTTTCAATCTTTTTATTAAGTCATTTTGTGATTGCAGCCATACGTAACAACATTCAAACTACCCTTCAACTTTACAGTACCCCCTCCCCCAGGCTGCACCCTCTCTGAAAAATTCCGTCAATTTTTATCATCATTGATTTTACTTACGACAGGGAAGACAAGGAAGATAGCAATCGGCGTGAGCGTTGGCGCGGTGATGCTAATTGCACTCGTTGCCTCCATTGTCTGCTTCGTTAGAAGGAGAAAGGCCCGTGCGTTAAGTAACCAATTGACGACAGTCAATGCAAGGAATGCCAGTTCTATTACCACGCCGTTGACTAGAGCTAATGCAGGAAATACCGGCCCTGTTACCTCAATGGAAAGGAGAAATAATGCAAGAGATACCAGTCTTGCTGCGACAAGAGCAATCACTACTGCATCCTATGGGACACAAACTTCACCTCTATCCCCTCAGGCAACAGGGCAACATTCAGTAAACCTCAGTCCATCGATGAACTCTGTTTCACTTCAAACAATACCATCAGGACCACCCCCAGCGTACCCAGGTTCACCCGACTCACCACCACCCTACCCAGGAATTGTTGAAGTTCCGCAATATCCCCCTCCGGGACAATCCTATCCATGGGACCCACGGCCCCAGCCGTCTGCTCCGCCCCCAAGTCCTTGAAGTATAGCATCGGAACTAGACTGTGTACAGATCCCCCCCCCCCCATTCTCCTAATGATCAGAATTAGCTGGCTAATTGTTGAGAGTACATAAATAGAAAAGATCCGAGTTATTCGGGAAAATATATTGATGACCAGTACTAAAGTGAAAAACAAATCAAGCCAAAGAAGTATTAACTTAAAATTGTATGTTACAAAGACCGTCAAAAAGCTCAAAAATACAAACTACCAAAGTTTGTTCATACGCATCAAGAAACATGTTGAATTAAAGCAGAAAAATGACGTTTCTACACAGGTTTCAAGTACTGATACGCTTTTGACTATTTCTTAAAAGTTTGCGATACTTCTGAGGGGCACGTTTTCTGAAGAATTTATTTAATAATAACTTCCTTTTTAGTTGCGTTGCTTCCTGATAAATTAACCATGCATGTTCAAATAGGTAATTAATCGTGGAAATAAATGACGTTTGCGTAACTCGTGCGACGTGATAATGTGCTGTAAATAACAAATTTATATACAGGGCTTTTAGTTTGCAATTAATTTTCGCGGAGGTGCAAAACATTCAGTTAATTAAAGACTGGACGTTTTTTATGGCCTTGTCTGACAAACCAAGGATAGTAATTATTTAACAGAAAGCCCCTTTCTCGTCGCGTGATAGCGGGCAAAGAACACTTTTAAGGCAGGCCTTCTTTGTGAAGCAGTCAGATTAAAGCACCTCTCAATGAATTTGAACTGTTGGTCGTGAGATGGCAAACGTAACGCCAGCCGATGTTGAAAACATCACTTTAAACTTCACTGTACCTGTGGAATTATCAATGGACATAATCGCAGCCGTAAATATTCTTTTCTCCATCACGGCATCTCTTGGCAACACTCTGATCTTGGTTGCTCTTCGTAAAGTAACTTCTCTTCACCCGCCAACTAAACTCTTATTTCAATGCCTGGCGATCACTGATCTGGGCGTTGCTCTTACTTCCCAGCCACTCTTCGCCAACATGCTGCTAAATGATTCTAGCACTGTTGAAGTAATTATAGTCAGTAACGCTATTCTCTCCATTATTTTTTGTGGAGTTTCGATGCTCATATCGACTGCCCTCAGTGTGGACAGACTTCTCGCTCTCTTGTTGGGATTAAGGTACAGACACGTTGTAACACTGAAGAGAGTTCGTATAGCTGTTGCCTGTTGCTGGTTAACTGCTTTTGTGAGTGCATTGGTCATATTTTTGTTTATAGGAAAGACCGTTACGAAAATAGTCATGAGTTTAATAATTCTTTTTGTAATTACTATCTCACTGTTTTGTTACACAAAAATCGTTCTTAAACTTCGGCAACATCAAACCAGTGTGCAAGAGAATGTCCACCAAGGAATGGCGAACGCAGGAGGAGTTCCAATAAACTTAGAACAATATAAAAGGACTGTTGTAAGCATAGCTTTGGTGCAGATAGCATTAATCGCATGCTATTCCCCATCACTTATTTTTCTTATATTAGTACAGCTAGATATAGACTATGATGGTTTTCGCTATAACGTCTTTGTTACAAGTACAACCTTCCTTTATCTTAACTCGTCTTTAAACCCGTTTTTGTACTGCTGGAGGATCAAAGAAGTTAGACAAGCAGTTTTGGGTACAATCAAAAAGTTTTGCTCATGTCCAAGTTGATTAACAACTAGTCTGGTCCATATTCGAAAGTACCTAAATATCGAAATCATTTGAACACTGAATAAGCCATAAGTAAATGGTAGTTCTCCTTACAGTGTAATAGCTCAAAGATAAAACAATTGTTTTGAAAATAAAAATTTTTGAATGCATAGTTATTTTCATCATGAAGCGTTAAATTGAAAAGAACCAGTAGAGATGCCTCTGTCTAATTAGTGCAAAATAATCAGAATAAAGAACTGCGAAGGAAATCCGGGCAAATATTAGTAAGCTGTCTACTTGAATGGACTGCCGTTTACTGTGCTTTCCACCAGATCTATGATCGAAGTATGCAACATTAGTTGACAAACATCTTAACTTTCGTTTAACAACAAACAAATATTCTTTTGAAAGCTATGCCAGGCTTATGTTAGAGTTATATCAAAAGAGCTTTTAGGTTATGGTCAATGATAAAAGGTGATGACTTAAATAAAGGACTTTTTGAAAGGCAATCATTAGAAAAAACAAATGGAAAGCCTATAAACGGATAACGTTATTCCCTTATGAATACCCGTTTAGCTTTTTACTCAGAGACTGCTATTCCAAATCAATCAAAAATTAAGCTTTTAGAAGGTTCTATTCAAGACGTCTGAAATGTCTATTTCCAAAGCAGCTATCGAGGGAACGTTTTCATTTCTTTTTGCTACCTCGGACAAATTATTACTGAATTTAGCTGATAGAAAAGACCTCAAGAACATTAATCTTGATTACACAGGCAACTAGAAAAAGATACACAAGCGATGGAAGTTCAATTAACCAGAAAACGTCGCTCAGGCAACCGGTAAATTTCAGGGCCTTGTAACAAAAATTTTCGAAGATTTCATAGATATGGTCGAAGTGACCATGAATCTTGGCTGCATTTTATAAAAATGGATGAGTGAAATACCATGAGCAAAAGCTTAACAACAGTTAATGGACTTGATAAAAAATAGAAAACGAATTATTGGCAGAAAAAATACACAGCAATCTGCATGCAAATGTCACACTGTAACTCGGTAGGCTTTTTAATCGTTATTATATCAGTTCAGTTCCCACTACCTAGCTTTTGGTAATGCATTTTAATTGATTCCTAAAATGATTGCATCTATTTTGTCTGCAATACAGAGATCTCATTTAAATAAAAACGTTTTCTTCTACAGCCATTTGGCCAGAGGCATTTGATAGCACAGCTGCATTTAAGGCTTTGACTTCAGAACGTATTTCCTCAGTGCCTACACCAAGCTTCTGACTTGATTTCAAAAATGGAAGTGAGAAGCTGCGAGCAATTAAAAAAAAAGTGGCGTCATTATTCTGGACCTAAAGAGGTTCAATTTTAGGAAGAGGAAGTTGAAATTCATAAGCAGAAAGAAGAATACATTAACGCCGCTGACGACATCGTCGATCTCGCTGAACTCTTTTTTTTCCTCAACTTTCCCTTAAAACCTGTTTTCTACTTTTGCTTTTCATTTTTCCAATGACAGTCATTTTTAGCCTTTTCTGATTTCCCAATGATCACTAATAAGCTGGCTAATTGGCAAGAATACACAAAAATTAATATACAAATAGGAAAGTTTTCATTCGGACAAACAGATGATCTATGCTACCCACAACTGAACTTAAGCAAGTATCTTGTAACGAAAATAAAATTGATCTGTTTTACTTCTTTTTAAGTCGTCCAGAATGAATCAAGTGCAGTAGTGTCAGATAGTAGATATCACTATGTTTTACTCCTCTTTTGAAGTGCTTTAAAGCCTTTTTGATGTGAAAACGCCGCTGACGTCGTAATCGATCGCACTTTGGCCCTAGCTCGTCTCGACTTCGGCCTTGAACATCAATCCAGGTAACAAAACAATGTTCACAGAGGAATGGCGAACACAGGAAGACTTTCACTTAACTAAGAAGAATAATGGAAGTCACAAATAATAGTAAGCTACTACTCTCATGAACTATACTGCTGTGTTTTCCAAATCTATAATTAAAATTACCTTGTGTTATAACACCCTAGTGTTATAACATGCTGGACTTGATGCTAAAAATCAAGAAAAATTGTTTGCGGCAAAAGTTACATGCCTGGACTTTTCTTTTTCCGCTATAAATATTCTTAAAGAAAAAGGGTGCACATGGCGTATTTTAATTTCTTTCTGTGTCACAATAACTTGCATAATTGATAGGACTAGAGATGCGTGTTATATTTACAAATTTCGTTCCGGCCGTGGAGAAGAATCTTAAACTTTCGTTAAACTCCAAAAAGATATTTTGTTGAAAGCTACTCCAAGCTTCCGTACTAATGACAGTGAAGCAGTTAAAAAAGATAAAAAATAAAAGCGTAATGGCGTCATTATTCTAGAGTTAGACCAAAAGAGATTTTGGGTAATGATTATAATGATTAAAACTAATAAGACAGTTTAAAACGCAATTTAGAAAACATCTGCTGTCATAGTAAGGTGGAATATTAAAATTATGGAAAACCTATAAACAGATAAGTTTATTTATTATTCATTCAAAATATTTTCCTTTAATAACTGGCCAAATTTCCCCGCCTAGTATGAACAACAACGGCCCGTGGGAGGACACAATACACAATACAAGTCGTTCACACACATCAAACACCGTGCTGGTGCATTTGACCGAGAGGGTTTGGTGCACTAAATTCCAGTCCTCACTCCTAAGGCAGAGCTGAACAACGTCTGCGCATGTGCAGAGACGGGAGAGGTCTGGGATCAAACATTAACATGCAAGAAAAGAACATTTATTCCATCGAAGGAATTACAGTGACTGCGAAGGGCCACATTGCTGTGGCTTTAAGAAGTGACACAACAAGTAAGGTAATTGAAAGTGAAGAATGATCATCGCAGTAAATTTTCCAATTTAAGCAATTGGAAAGAAGAAGCCTGAAAAAAAAAATCAGGGCTTCAACGGGATTCGAACCCATGACCTCCGCATTGCCGGTGCGTTGCTCTACCAACTGAGCTATGAAGCCACGCGTTGGGAGCGAGGTCAATTTATTGACTTCATATCTCCCGTGAGGAGTGAAATGATGTGAAGTATATGAAGGTAAGGTAGTAAAGTAATTGTTGCGTGTTAAAACTGAAGATGTTCAAGACTCAGCGAAACAGATATTTTCTTTGAGACCTAGGGGCTAAGGGAAAGGAACTGTGAAAAAATCGGCACCTATGTACCTGTCACAAAGGAGAATTCGCATGAAAAAGAACGTAGACTTAGGATTTCTCTCAGTTATTAGAGATGTCACCCCTTAAAAACAACTGGTTAATTTTGTTAGCAAGGGTTAAGTTTGGAATGTCCTATGGGATGGACTCAAACTTTCCAAAAACGTCAACGATTTCAAGCTTGCACTGCAAAAAAAGCTTCTCAAAGAGTGTCTTAACAATAGCGAGGCTGTTTCCGAGTTCCAAAGTCATGATAACGGATGGAGTATAATGAAGTAGGTATGTCAGATGTACATAGGCGTACGTTGCGGTGGGTTAAAAGTTACCTTAATTTCAAATCACTAAACTGTAACTCTGACAGTTGAAACTCCCCAAATAGCTTGCTCCTATATAGCCTGAGCAAACAGCCGAACAAAAAAGCAAATTTTCAACCAATCAGAAACACCACCGTCCTAGATCTTGGAAATGACGCGTCATTAGTATGGAATATCTGCGGTCATTCCTCTGCGGATATCGTTTTGTGGAGAAACCAGTGAGCGTAATGTCCGCCGCTTTTTCAAAGTTAGCTTCTATATCAAATGCTAGACTATTGTTTGCACAATAAAAATTTCTAATTTCGAAAATTGAACAGCCGGGATCTTCTAATTTCAGTTTTGTTGGTCTAGACAAAGGATAAGTAAAATGCTTGAGCTTCCGAAAACCCAGAGAATTGAAAATTAACGTTTGTCTGTCAGAACAATGTTCTTTTCTTTCATTTTTTCCCAACGATGTCATTCAAGATGAAGCTGTGGAGGTTATATGATCAATAAATGTCATGGTACTGTCCAATTATACTCCAGGGTCTTTTGCTGCATGAGATGGTGTTAGCTTTTTACCCATAAGGGGACACGTGGAAATAATGCATCAGTCAATTCCAGCTGCGCTCAGCCCCCCTCCCCACCCCCCGGGCTGATCCCCGGGCATTAGCATTTTTTTTGCCTTGGATGGCAAATTCCCGGGGGTGGGTACTCTTGAGCTGTCAAATGCCCCGGGGTGGGAACGAAAAAAGAGGGCAAATGCCCCGTCCTCCGTCAACACTGCAACATTTTTCGTTGATCGCACAGTCGAATAAGCCATTTTAAGCATTTTAATGTGCGATTTTTCCCGGGTTGGTTACAACTTGGTGTTACGGTGCACGAATTTATGCTAATTAGTATATGCCAATGTCTATGTCATATAATGATAGTATCATGGAGTCATGGTTTCATAGGTCTCATGGTGTCAATGGTTTCATAGTTTCATGTGTTTCGTGGTTTCATAGGTTTAGTGGTGTTAATAGGTTCATGGTTTCATAGGTTTCGTGGTGTCAATGGTTTCATGGTTTCATGGGTTTCGTGGTGTCAATGGTTTCATGGTTTCATAGGTTTCGTGGTGTCAATGGTTTCATGGTTTCTTAGGTTTCGTGGTGTCAATGGTTTCATGGTTTCATAGGTTTCGTGGTGTCAATGGTTTCATGGTTTCATGGGTTTCTTGGTGTCAATGGTTTCATGGTTTCTTAGGTTTCGTGGTGTCAGTGGTTTCATGGTTTCATAGGTTTCGTGGTGTCAATGGTTTCATGGTTTCTTAGGTTTCGTGGTGTCATTGGTTTCATGGTTTCTTAGGTTTCGTGGTGTCAATGGTTTCATGGTTTCATGGGTTTCGTGGTGTCAATGGTTTCATGGTTTCTTAGGTTTCGTGGTGTCAATGGTTTCATGGTTTCATAGGTTTCGTGGTGTCAATGGTTTCATGGTTTCATAGGTTTCGTGGTGTCAATGGTTTCATGGTTTCATAGGTTTCGTG